TTTCGCCCTTAAATATTATAATTTTTTTTTTTTTTTTTTTGAAAATTAAAATTAAATTATACCATCTAAATTATATCAGTCTAAGCATCAGAGTTTTCCTCATGAAAAAAAAATCTCTAACAAAGTAAGACTAAATCAATGTTTTTGGAAAGAACGTATTATTTTGTGGCTTGCTGAGGGTTTAAAGAGTCGTGTAACTGACAGAATCAGATGGAGGCATAAATGATGACAAAACTATCAAACAACAGATATTTTGACTTTAAACACTCAGAACTAAATGAATTACCTACAAATAAATCAAATCACTGCAGAAGTGTTAAAGTGTTAGTGAACAGGAAGAAGAAAGGCAGCGAGGATCTCAAACTAAAGTCTTCTGTAACAGCAGTGATGTTGAAGGAGCTTTCGAGGCTTCAGCTCCTGATCTTTATGAGGATTCATCAGTAAAAATACAGAAACTATCACCACATGTACAGTAGAAAGATACAAACTTTCAGAAATTATGATCCTGTAAATCAGAGAAATCTGCTGCAGATTTGTCAGTAATTCACTTCTTGTGGAAATACTACACTGATTTTAAATAGAATAAGATTTACTGCTGTATGATTAGCTCTGGTGATATTTTTAACAGTAATTCATAAATGAAAACACTTCAGAACCAACAGCTTTTATGAATTCAGTGTTTATACACACATGCGATAGTAAATGTAAGCAGCTTCAAATAGCATTGTTTTAACAAATGTGAAGTGTATTATACTAAATCTTGTTATGATTTCTAATGCATACAGGTGAAACAAATTAAACAATGCAGCATTAATATAAACATATACATATTGAATAACATTTCAGTCATAGTACAGAGTCAGCTCTTTTGAGGGTTTCTAATGATATTTTACATGGTTTGAGCTGAGATTTGATCGGCAAATAAATGCTGTTGTAAAGTGGATCCTGTCTTTTGAGGACATGGAGAAAGTTGCGCATGCTTTGTGTTCTCGTGTTTGGATGATATGATAAGTGTTTGTGAATCAGGCCTCTCTCTCTCATCTGCAGCTTGTTCTGAATTCAGCTGCTAGGCTTTTAACAGACACTAAGCAGAGAGAGCACATTACTTCTGTGCTTATCATCTCACACTGGCTACCTGTACAATACAGCATTTATTACAAAGAGCTGCTATATGTTTTCAAAGAGTATGTTTCTGATTTAATCAGTCTGCATCAGTCTAACAGGTCTCTGCATTCAAGTAATCAATAGCACTTTCTAGTTCCTCGATCTCAGTTCAAATGCAAAGGTGATCGGGTCTTTTCTGTTGCAGCTCCAAGGCTTTGTATTGACCTTCCTCTGTCGCTAAAATCATCTCCTACACTCAGTGTATTTCAGTTCTTGTATTCGGTTCTTGTGCTGTATTATTGTTATTAGTGTTAGATGGAGACTTTGAGTTTACAGTGTAAAAGTATGAAGGCTAAGCGCTGTGAACTGTGTTTTCTTACTGATCATGCCCAGTGGAGAAGCATATATCCATAAGAAAGCTGTGGTTTGTGATTAATGTTCCTTTTGGTAACACTTAGATCAGGGAACACATATTAACCATTAAGAGTTTTCCCTCAATAAACTCCCAATTTGCTGCTTACTGGTAGTAAAGTAGTTGTTTGTAGTTTGTAGTAGTTATGTTTGGGTATAGATTAGGGTTAAGGGATGTAGAATATGGCCATGAATAAGGCATTAATATGTGCTTTATAAGTACTAATAAACAGCAAATATGCTAGTAATATGCATGCTAATAAGCAACTAGTTAATACTGAATAGTGTTCCCTGATCTAAAGTGTTCCTTCCTTTCATTTTGTAAAATGATGTTCATGGTACTTAACTATAATCTATGAGCAGCAACTGAGTGTTTCTGATTAAACTGAGCTCAACAGACTTCATGAACAAAGGTAGTACTGTAAGTTTGCTCTGTTTATGTTGCTTATTCATATATATGAAAGGGTAAGTAATATTAAAGATGTTGAGTGTGGTCTCTGGGCTGCTGCTGGTTGCTTTGTAAAGTCCAGAGTCTGTGTTTCTGTGGGTCTGTGCTCATGTTATCAGACTATTGTCAGTGTGTTCAGGTGATTTGTGTCTTTGGTCTCTTGACCCTCGTCCTGTTTGAGATCATTTGTGTTCTGTTTGAGTCTTTATCTATAAACATGGCTTTATTTTTCTGAAGGAAGCTCTGAAATTATTTTCTCCGGTGAGGGTGTAAGAACAACAGCTAATCATCAGCGAAGTCAAGATCTTCTCTGGATAATGCTCTACTTAAACAGACAAACACTTCATGCAGTCAGCTGTCAGCTTTCCTCACAACGGAGGACTCAGACTCAGATGTTGACAAAATAACCTTATAATATTCATACACTAGACAGTTGACCATGATTGATTTGCTCAAGACTGCAGTGGACAAGGCACTCGAAAGTGATAATGGACACCTGGATCTTTTTCTTCGATTCCTCCTTGGTTTGTCACTCCAGTCCAATCAGAGACTCTTACAGGGTCTGTGGACGCAGCAAAATAGAAATGAGCAGAGCAAAAAGGAAATAGTTCAGTACATCAAGCAGAAATTTGAAGCTAATCTGTCTCCAGAGAGATCCATCAATCTGTTCTACTGTCTGAATGAACTGAACGACCAAACTCTGGTGAATGACATTCAGACCCACCTTAGCAAAGGAAGCCTCTCATCTGCTGATCTTTCACCTGCCCAGTGGTCTGCTTTGGTCTTTGTGTTGTTGACATCAGAGGAGGAGCTGGAGGAGTTTGAGCTTCAGAAATTCAAGAAATCAGACGAGTGTCTCATTAGACTATCAGCAGTCATCAAAACCTCCAAAAGAGCTCTGTAAGTTATTTCATATATTTTGTCATGTTTTGTTCTTAAAATTGCATTTATCTACATTGATACATAGCAGGTTTGGACACCCCTGATCTATAGTGATGATTAACCATATACCAATTATAAGTATATATCTATTTTAGGGTTAAATCATAACACATTTCCTTTAACTTTTTTTTTCTTTAAAAATTGCCGTCCTTTAGAATTAAAGTGCAATGCTATTTTATTAGATTTACATGGGATTTATGTTGACATTTCTCTTTTCAGCAAAACAAGCTGTTTAGTTAGCTGCAGAAGAAGCACATCATGTTATTATAAAACATATTGTTCCATAGTTATTTCTACTCTAATATGCAGTTCAACTTCTTAAACTTCTGCTATAAAGGAGATATACTCTTGCATAACCTCAATGCATAAATGATTAACCTCCAGATTCTCCTCCTCAAGACACTCATCAAGATAATAGAGCAGCACTTTTAAATGTATAACTCATTGCCATTAATGATATAAGCCTAAGTTTTATTCAAGCATGCTAGTTTGTTTTATCTAGGAAATTTTAATCAATACAATTCTAATATATGTGCAGTATATTTACTGTTCATGTAAAAAAAAATTATATACATTTATTTTTTGTGTTTAACAAATATATTACATGTATCTAACTCTGTGATTTGATTTATTTCTCTTGTAGGCTAAATGACTGTGACTTAACAGACAAAAGCTGTCCAGCTCTGGCTACAGTTCTTGGATCAGATACCAATCTGAAAGAGCTGAATATGAACAATAATAATCTGCAGGATTCAGGAGTGAAGCTGCTCTGCACTGGACTGAAGAATATAAATTGCAAATTAGAGTTATTGAGGTAAGTTTTGTGACAATCCCTAGTGTTTGGTTAGATTTCAGATCCCTCTGTTAACATGGACCTAGATAATTTGCTACAGAATACAGGATAGCAAGGTTACATAGCAAGGTTTTTTTGTTTTTTATATAAATATATACTTGTTTTTTAGTATATAAATTATATACTAAATAAAGAGAAAACGGATAGAATAGAAAAAGAATAGAGCAAGCTAGTGTTAGAGGCCTTTTTTTTGCTTTTTGTTAATTGTATAATAAATAAAAAGAAAACAGAAAAGAGAAATAGAATACAAGCTAGTGTTTTTTTTATTTATTTTAGGGCTGGGCAAGTTAATGCGTTATCACATTAACGCATTAAAGGGGTCATGTGACGTTGCTAAAAAGAACATTATTTTGTGTAGTTGGTGTAATGCAATGTGTTTATTTTGTTTAAGGTTCAAAAAACACATTATTTTCCACATTAGTGTTTCTCCTCTATGCCCCGCCTTTCTGAAACGCGTCGATTTTTACAAAGCGCATCGGTTCGAAAAGCGAGGTGTGCTCTGATTGGCCAGCTATCCAGTGCATTGTGATTGGCTGAATACCTCAAGCGTGTGACGGAAATGTTACGCCCCTCACCATATTGTGATGCCGTGTCCCGGCACAACGAGACAAAACCATTAAAACCCATTACAAACTAAGCGTTTGTTGCATCCAGTGGGGACATAATTACGGATTATAATGACTTATACTGTCTTTTTACACATTGCGTTGCTAAGCAACAACATTCACAAACCACTGTTCACTGTTGTTTTTAACAGAAAAGAATGCAACGTGCTCATAATCACAACTTCATAAGTGGGAAATAGGAAGTTTCCGATAGCATGAGAAGACAGCAGAGAAGTGCTCTCGCTCAGCACAGTGGAGTGCATCGTTTTGTTAACTGTGTGGTTTATTATTTTGAGTCGTTTGGGACGCGGTAACACACGGCCCTCTCACAATATATTGCTTTACAGATCTATCCCTCTTGCTGCTCAGAAATGTTCACGCAATCATGCTGCACGTATCAGAAGTTCAGCCTCCGGCACGGTTAGCGCTCACACTCACTGATCTATATATAACTGAACCGCGCTCTGGCCCATCACTTCCAACCGAGCCAGGGACAGATAAACTGGGCACGGAGCGATCACACTAGTCAAACGAACCGGCTTTGGGGGTCAAACGTGCTCGGGCGCGGGTAAGATTGCCTAGTGTGAGGCTCGGGCGCAGTTAAGATTGCCTAGTGTGATACACCCTTATTCTCCCGCATCACGCACGCACGAGTCTCTACCCAAGTGTTGTCCCGCACCGCACTCTGCTGCGTTGGGTCCCGCGGTAGTGCAGGTCTTTACTCGGAAGGTGCCTGTTATAATGTTATGATCGAGGCTCTGGACTCGAATATTTTAAAACATTAATGCCCTGGCAGTGGCAAATGCATTTTTGTTCATATAGCAGTACTTTTAAATGAAAAAAATGCACAATACACAATATAATTCACTATTGAATTTTGTGCATAACAATTCGATTAATCACAGAAAATCGTGCGATTAATTGCGATTAAAAATGGTATTAGTTACCCAGCACTAATTTATTTATTTATTTAAAATTATTTTCTTGTTTTTCAACCATGTTGAGGTTGTTTGTATGTTGTGGATCATTTAGATGAAAGACTTTCACACCTGTTGAGTTTTAGATAATAGAAACCTTAAAGGGGTCATGTACTGCATTTTTAAAATTATTTTATAATGTTCTCTGTGATGCACCTATAATGTTAGCAAGATTTTACATCAAAAAACATCATAACTTAGATCTAATAGGCTATTTTGTATCCAGGTTTTGACCCTCTCTGCAGAACAGACTGTTTTTATAGACGAGGCACATTCGAGATGCTGAAGTGAACGCCCACTGCTATGATTGGCTAACAAGTTTAGCATATTAATACAATACAATACAATACAATATTTATTTGTAAAGCACATTTAAAAACAACCGAAGTTGACCAAAGTGCTGTACAGAATAGAATAAAAATTCAGAAATAAGATGAAGAAAACAAGACTATCACATTTAAAACACAACAATAACAAAACAACAATTAAACCAATGATCAAGGGGTATTGAAAGCTAGAGAGAATAGATATGTCTTTAGAGCAGACTTAAAAGCAGGAATAGAGGGGGGTAATCTAATATGAAGAGGTAGACTGTTCCAGAGTTTCGGACCTGCAGTTGCAAAAGCTCAATCACCTCATTTAAGTCTAGATCTAGGCACAATGAGTAGACAGAGATCACTGGATCTCAATGTTCTCGAAGAGGTGAACGGATGAAGCAGGTCAGTCAGGTACTGAGTAGGGATGCAATGATTATAGATTTTGTTGGTACGATTATTGTCAGAGGAATAATCACGGTTTCACGGTTATTACGATTATTATGCATTTATGCATTTCACAACATTACCAGTGTATAAAATCAGATGAACACTCTTTAGATATTAAAGTGTTATTTATTGCTGCCTTTTGAAACAGAAACAACACAGTAACCAATAATAGGCCTACAGCACAAAATAATAATAATAAAGACAAACAAAAGTCCATCTCTCCTGTTGGAATTAAAATAAAAAAGTTGACCTCTGCGCTGTAAACATCCATGACAGTATTTCCCTTTTGAAAATAACTAATTAAAAAGTATTTAGTGTTTTCACTTTGTACATTCTTTACATTTCTTCTGGACCAGAGGTAGAGAACTTGGAAATAGGGTGAAAAAAATATTGTTGGTTTTTGACTTATGAATAAAACAGGGATAATAAATACATATGTTAATGAAGTATTATTAATATAAAACTAATATTAACTTTATTTATCCCATAGGGGAAACTAAATGAGGGGAATACACTGAACTATTATTGTAATCAACTGTCATCCATAAGTATTCATTTTAATAATCTTTATAATAATTCATATAATTTTGAAAATAATGTCTATTTTGTGAGATTGGAGATCGTGCTGCGCACACACAAACTTGTTGTGAACGCTGCCCCTCGACTTTTATAAAAAAAATAGCTTAGATACTGAATTGCTACATTACATTCATCAGGAACAAGGGGGTAAAATCACTGTTTAATAGGGCTGTGAATCTTTGGGTAGACAGCGATTCGATTCATGATTCAGAGGTTTTCGATTCGATTCAATAATTATTTTTTAAAATTCAGAACGATTACATTCGATTCACAATTAAATTTGATTACATTTGATTAACGATTTGATTCTGCATTCTTTAAGTGCATTCACATGATTATTTAAATGCTTAGTCAGGGGGCAAATTACACGAGGATGGTGTCACGTATCCGGTCCATGAACTACCGTCTGCTAGCCATCAGAGGTCACCCTTTCCATTTTCATTGACTCTCGCACTACACACTGTTGCACATCACCCCGGACTACATATCCCATCATTCATTGCACTGATTGCACACAGCCCTGATTGCACACAGCCCTGATTGCACACAGCACTGATTGCACACAGCTGTTTCATATCACTCATTCACTATTTAACACCCAATCTCACTCCGTTCTGGCTGCCGAGTATTGTATGCGCTTATCGCCCGTAGTGATAGCTACTCTACAGAGCCCTCTTTAGCTTCCTAGCCCAGCCCAGCCCAGCCTAGTCTTGCCTTGTCTGTTTTCTCCGTTTTTGATCTGTGCCTGTTTTCCTGGATTTATCCCTTTAGCTAACGTTTCATCAGTTCATTCTGCTTTTTATTCAGATTAGCTGCAGATATAGCCTGACACGTCAATGAGCGCGAGATCACTTCTCTTTCAGTGCTTTTCTTTAACTTTTCCTCTCCATCGACGAATTATGATTTTGAAAGAAATCGCATCCGATGTCTGTTTGCTATAGCAACGAACGCTACTTTCATTTTTTTCCATTTTTATCACAGAATAAGGTAGAAAATATACTTTATAGTTTCTGTACTGTAATAAATGATATGTCAATTAGCACTGCATCATTCATAAATTTTATTTATTTATTGTGTTTATTGTCTTAATGTTTCAGTTCATTCTGCTTTTTATTCAGATTAGCTGCAGATATAGCCTGACACATCAATGAGCGCGAGATCACTTCTCTTTCAGTGCTTTTTTTTAACTTTTCCTCTCCATTGACGAATTATGATTTTGAAAGAAATCGCACCCGATGTCTGTTTGCTATAGCAATGAACGCTACTTTCATGCATCTGATTATCAGATAAACCTGGCGCTCTTATTTCAAGGTTGTTGTTGATGATGTGGATATTTTAACAGTTTCCTTAGTACATTCGGTTCAACAGCATTGTTAAAACACATTTATTTTAACAATGGAATTCAGTGGAACTGTGCGTATGCTTTACACTTACATTTTTGCTCTGTCCGTGCAATAAATGCGCAGCCTTCGACTGCTCAGGTTATGTCATCGGTATGACCGAGAGCCATTGAAAAACTACAGAAAAGTAATACTACTTCACTTGAGCATTACTGTCCACAAGTACTAAGGAGAGATCACACACATCAGCTGCTCAAAAAATGTGTCAATGAGATGAACGGAGCGCGAACGCAATCCTGTGACAGTCACAGGCGGTAAATAGTGCAGCTCGTGAAGGAGAGATTGGGCACGAACACTATTCAGGTCTCCATTAATTTGTGCTTGTAGTTTATTTATTTCAGTTGTTTGAAAGCATTGAATCGCTATAGAAATCGCATTACATTCGATTCTTAGCGTTTTAAATCGATTACTGTCCGAAATCGATGATTCACGATTCAAAATCCATGTTTCAAGATCGATGCATATGCATCGTCAGGGTTTGTAATTGATGCATCGAGAAAACGAGTGAATCGTTACACCCCTACTGTTTAAGTAACTAAAATCACAGCTTCATTGTTTGTAGAGAGACGGGCAGACGCAGGTAGACTATTTCACACACGCAACTGTCACCTCTCTCTTTCTCTCTCTCTCTTGATC